CATAAAACTCACAAGGAGGTTAAACTAATAATCCAAAACAACTTTCCAATGAAAAGTTCTAGACCAGAATATCAAGTGTACCAGATGGTTGATTCTGAACCACATGGAGGGTTCTGAACCAGATGACTTCACTAAAGAAGTGTATCAGGGTTGGGGTTGTGGCTCAGAAGTAGAGCACTCACCTAACATGCATGAGGCACTAAATTTGATCTTCAGCACCACATAAAGTAAAATAGATTGTGTCCACATATAACTAAAAAATAAATATTTAAAAAACAAAAATCTATCAAATGTTTAAATAAGGGCTGGGATTGTGGCTCAGTGGCAGAGTGTTTACCTAGCATGTGTGAGGCCCTGGGTTGTATCAACACCACATAAAAATAAATAAAAAAGGTATTGTGTACCATCAACAGCTAAAAAAATTTTTTAAATGTTTATATAAGCATTACCAGCTTTCTTTTCCAAACTTTTCCAAAATTCAAAGAAAACACACCTTATGCATCTGAGAGGCCAGGAATAACCTGGTACTGAAGCCAGGCATAGAATTGACAGGAGAAGGAAATTCTAGATCATTATTCCTTATGAATCCTGGTGCAGAAATGTTCACAATGATAGCAAGTGCAATTCAGCAACTTATTGAAGTGTAATAATGTGACCAAGTACAGTTTATTCTAGGAACACAGGAATAGCTCAACATGTGAGCATCAATCAATAAACCACATAAGCAGACTGAAGTAGAGGGGGAATATCATCATCTCTGCTAAAGTAGAAGAAGTGTTTGAAAACATTCAACACCTTAAGAAGAAAAAAATTACGGTTAACAAAGTTGAACTAGAAGGAAACTACCTCAACAAAGATATTACATGAAAAGCCACAGATAACACCATACTTAGTAGTAAAAGCTTGTTTGGTAAAATTGGCAAAATGTTCAGGATGCCTGCTTTCCCCTTCCACTCAATATAATATTGAAAGTTCTGGCCAGAAGCATAAGGAAAGAAAATGAAATTGAGGCATCCAAATGGGGAAGGAAGAAATAAAAGTATGTCCCAACACAGAAGACATAACACATATGTAGAAAACCCTGAAGATGTCACACAAAAGTGTTGGAACTAATAATTTCAGTAAAATTGCAGAATATAAGGGTAACATCCCAAAGGAAATTGAAAACACAATTCCAAGGCATCACACTTGCTGATTTCAACTATGAAAAGCCAGGATATCAAGACAGCATGGGACTGGCAAGAAAACAGGCACATAGTCCAGTAGAGCTGAGCTGAGAGCCCAGACTTCAACCCACACATGTGGTCAAGTCATGTTTGGGGGCCAGAAGCGCATGAGAGGGCAAGGAAAGACTGGGCACCCACACACAGAAGGATGAAATTGGACCCTTATTTTATGTTCCATACACAGAAAGGAACTTGAAATGGAAGACAGAGTTAAATATTTATCAGCCCTGAAACTCTCAGAAGAAAACCGAGGTGAAATCTCTTGATTTGGGTATTAGCAATGATTTTTTGGACATAACACCAACAAGATGGGCAACAGAAGAAAACTAAACAAGCAGGGCTACAAAAAGCAAAGGAATCCATCCATAAAATGAAAGGGTAATGACCAAAGTGGGGGACATATTTACAAAGCATATCTGACAGGAGTTAAGATGTCTCTAATAGTGGGGAAAAGGCCTGCCTTGGCATTTTCCCAAAGGAAGTGAAAGGTTACCAATAGGTATGAAAAGGTGCTCAGCATCACTAATGGCTGGGAATGCAGATTCAAAACCAAAATGAGGTGTCACTGAGCACCTGTTAGGCTGGCTCTTGGCAAGAAGTCTAGAGAACAAGCGTTAGCATGGCTATGGATCAAAGGGGGGACCCTTGTACACTATTGGTTCAGAATTTCAGCTTTACAAGTAGAGAGTTTCTGGAGGTGGGCAGAGGTGGTTACTGCACAATAATGTATTTAATATTATTGAAAACATAGAAATTATAAAGATGGTTAAATTTTATAACACATGCTTTTCCCATAGTTTAAAAAATTAAAAATTAAAAATTCATGTTGAATAAAGGACTTGGAAAACAGACTTGACCTCAAAGCTCTAAAGTTGATTCTGAGCATTTGGTTTTTGCATCGGCACGTTATTCATATTCATAACAGTTTGGTTCTTGGCAACAGTGCTACCTGATCATTGCTATTATTTTGATTATGCTGAAAGATCCACATGTCTTCTGTAATTTGTGGTTGATTTTTTTGGTTTCAGCAACATTGGAGTCATCTCTTTCCTTCCCAAAGAAGTTAGTCTCTTGAGAGCCTCTTCCTGTTACCTCCATGTGCAGCCAGCTTGATGGGAGCCTTGAGAAGCCAGGAGACATGGAAATCAGGGGCTGCCTGCAGCCCAGATGTTTATAATGAGGGGAGTTTATGTATATAAAATTATGTCATCTGCAAACAGGGATATTTAGACCTCCTTCCTTCCTGTTTGGATGCCTTGTATTTTCTTGTCACCTCTTATTTCTATGGCCAGTACTTTCAAAAGCATATTGAATATACATGTTCTTTTGTTCCTAATCTTACAGAAAATGATTTCAGCTCTTCTCTAGTTAGTGTGATGTTGCTTTGGTCATGGTCTCTGAACATCCTTTCTTCATGGTCCACTTTATTTTCAAGATCATTTATTTTGTCTTTGAGGCCTCAAACCTGTCTTCAAAGTGTTTTAGTCTGCTGGTGGTGTTTTCCATTGAATTTTTAATGTAGCTTATTGAGTCTTTCACTTCCAGGATTTCCATTCAGCTTTTTTTTTTTTTTTAGAATCTCTATGTCTTTATTCGAGGCATACTTTACTTCCCATATTTTCTCTTTACTTTCACTCCATATATCTTCTTTTAGCTCATACAACAATTTAACTATGAACTCTCTAAATTATTCTGACATTTCCTCCACTGCAGTGTTGATGGGATCAATTGTTAAAGCATTATCAGTTGATGGGATTGGTTGTTAAAGCTTTGGGGATGGTTCCCTTGCCTTTTCATATTGTTTGTATGTCTACCCATCTGTTGTGATAACTGTCATTTTTTTTTAAAAAAGGGACTACTTTGTGAGCCCTCGGTTGGGTGAATATGCAGATATTGGTACTTTAAGTCAATATGAGACTTTTGTTGATCCCAATATCAGCACCACTTTGAGAAATGCCACCAAACCCTGTTTACTATAATCACTCATTACCAAGCCTCCTGCTATTCAACCTTATGAGAAACACAATGTTGACATTGTTGTCCACAGTTCCTCAAATCCAGGTCTAAGCTGTAGTGAAGTTCTGGAATAGGTTAAAATTAGTTTTTCAATTGACTAAAATGCTATAATTTTAAATGAGGGCTAAAATTGGGGAAGAGGAAAGATTGGGGAAAGAGATGAAAGGGAGGAAGGAAGGAAAAGGAAGGAAGAAGGAAGGAAAAGGAAGGATGAAGGATGAATGAATGTGTTTGAGGTAGTAGCAGATAACCAAAGAAGATAAATATAAAGGGTAAGAGGAGCAGCTGTAAACTGAGCCTCTCAAATAAGGATATGCAGATTGATTCCAGTTAAACCAGTAGATAAAACAGTCAAATGTGTTGAATCTTGGCTATTAGCATAACCACTATTATTCAATTGAAAAAGTTCAATGTAGACATTAGAGTTATTTATAGTAAATCATGCCAAGGTGAAGAAAATTCTTTTTGGATCTTGGTTTGGGTTTCATTGGAGTTCAGACCCAAATGAAAGATGTGCATCCTTCTTTGGCTGTGGGTCCCTCCATCATTGCTGGGGCACAGGAGCCACTTCTCTGTTTGCTGTGAACCTCCCACTGGCCAGTTCTGGTTTATCAGCTCGGGGGTCTGAAGTTGATGCTTGGAGAGTTCAGTGTTGTGTTCTAGTTGTTTCTATTGTGAGCAGGAATTCAGGAGGCAGACTGGAGTGTCCCACTGATTGCCATGGGTCACTGTCTACTGCTCCCCAACACAGGATCCTTTTCATGAATGTGAATTTTCTGCAGGTACCCCCTGGCCAGTGCTGCCCTCTGGGTTACTGAGGTAAAGGGACTCAGGTGGTTCACTTGGGTTCTAGTTTCCACTACTCCAGGTTATGAATGGAGGGTATTGATTCCCTCTGTTGACTCTGACTGATACAAAGTCCAGCCAGAGTCTAAACAATGCCTTTTCCTTCACCACTTGTGAACACTGGTCAGGCTGGGAGCACACATTCCCTATTGTCATGGATCATGCAATTTTCCACCTTAACTAACCTCCCTTGGGCTATGTTTGCAGGTGCCTACTGCTTAAGTTTCCTGGGATATTCAGGGAACTTGTTCTAGCAGCCTTCTACCATAGCTGCCACCACCTGGCAATCAGATGTGTCACTGGATATTGAGACAGCTTCCCTCTGGTATGGACTATAAAGATGATGGTCCCTGAACTTCTCACAGTGCTTCCCCTCTATGTCAGTGGTTGGTGCTGCTGTGGTCCTCATGGATCCATTTTCCTCTGCTCAGAGCCAAAGCTGTCTGGGTCAGTGGATGCTGCTCAGTGTTTTTATGTTTGTTTGTTTGTTTGTTTGTTCCTCTTGTTGCTGTTTTTGTTTTTCTTTCCCTGCCTCTGCCTGGGTTGCAGAGTGGTGGTCTAGGCGCACTTCCCAGTGCAGTCCACTCAGTCCCTTCCCCCGCTTTTGGGGGAAGGGGAGGGGGAGGGAGTTTCAGTGATTTGGGGGCGACTAGTGGTTCCTCTAGAACTTCTTTATGGCTCTATTCCTATGAGGTCCCACTCCAGGGGACTTCCCTCTGGTTACATTTGCAGCTGTCTGGACATAGGAAGATATCCTGTCATGAGATGGCTGTGAACCCCTGGCTCAGCTTTCCTTTCACAATTTGGTTTTAACCTTTGATATGTTATAAGGGCCCTGCTGTTCCCATCACACTTAAATTTTTATCTGCCTTTCCAAATGTTTTTAGTGGGTGAGTTTAAGTAAATTTCTACTCTTTCTTTCTTTCTTTCTATTGCCCCTCACCCCTTCCTCTATCCTGGCCTGGGTTCCAGATCAGGGAAACGTGTGCTGATTTTCTTCTGTGGTATCCAGTATTTCCAGACCTAAGACTTGGTAACACTGAGTCTTTGAACCGTTGTCACTCATCTCTCAATTCTGATTTTCCTTCACTGCCTCCTTTCTGTGTGGTGAGGAGATCAGGAATTGCTGTCTTGCTCCCTTCTACCATCTTCCCAGTCTCTCATTGATTTTCTTTTAATTGATGCATTATAGTTACATATAAAATTGGACTGCATTGTGATATATTCACACATGCACATAGTATAATTTGATCAACTTTATTCCCCAAATTCTTCCCCTTTGCCTCTTGTCCTCCCTCACCCTTTATTTCCTATTTCTACTCCTGTCCCTTCTATTTTTTGGAAGTTCCCCCAACTTTATTCCCTTTTGTCTCCCTAACTTACATTTATGAGAGAAGGCATTTGATCCTTGCTTTCTGAATCTGACTTATATAACTTGGCATGATGTTCCATTGATATACCAGCAAATGAAATAATTTCATTTTTCTTTATGGCTGAGTAGAACTCCATTGTGTGTGTGTATATATCACATGTTCTTAATCCATTCATCCTATTGGTCAGCGCCTAGGCTGGTTTCATAACTTGGCTATTGTGCTATAGAATACTGATTTTGGATTTTTACATAATTACCAAGAAGTGGGAGAGCTGGACCATATGTGGTTCCATTTAGAGTCATCTCTACACTGCTTTCCAAATTGGTAGTACTAGTTTGCAGTGCCATCAACAAAGTATTAACATACTTTTTCTCCCACATCCTCAACAATTATCCTTATTTATATTCTTGATAATTGCCATTCTGGCTGTGGTAGTATGAAATCTCAGTGTCGGAGGCCACCCTGCGCAGGAGCAAAGGACACCCCGTTAGCCTTGAATAATGAAGTATTGAACTGGCATCGCAAGCCACACACTGTGCGAAGCAAAGTGGGCCTTACCTTCGCTCTGCAGGGAAGTGCTTCAGCTCTGGGCTTGAGGATTACCCAAAGGGATTGGGCAACCCCGCTTCTGAAATTCTATCCCCTACCTTATTTGGTTGGAATATTCCATCGAATGTCTTTTCCTAATAAATAGAGGGGTTCCTGGTGCTCTCTTGCCTTTGAGCGTGGAAGAGGACCCTAGAGGCCCTGAGAAACTCATGTCGTGTGTTGCATGAACTGTTTGCCATTTTCTTATCTTGATGTTGCAGCCAGCTCTTTTGAATGTGGATTTTCCTCTGTGCCTTTAATCCATTTCTAGTTCAATTTTATGTGCTGTGTAAGATCCAGCTTTTCACTTTTATGTACTGTGCAGGTCCAGCTTCATTCCTTTGCATGTAAATATCCTCTTTCCCAGCACCATACGTGGATGAGACTCTACCTTCCCTATTGTCAGTTCTTGGTGCCTTTTGGTGATTGACTATGTGTGCATGGGTTTGTATCTGAGTTTTCTCTTGTGTTCCATATTCATGTGGTATTCTCTACTCTCTTCTTTGTGTCAGTTTTCATGTCAGTATCTGAGTGGATTATGAGAATCTTACAATATATTTGAAAATAATTACTATAAAACCTCTTCTTTGTTCTTCTTTTCTCAGGAGGAGATGGCTATTTATTACCTTTTGTGGTGTCATATGAATTAAAGGATTTTCTTTCAATATCTAGTAAAATTGCCATTGATAGATTGACAGGAATGTCACTGAATCTCTTGCTTTGGGTAGCCTGGACATCTTAACTATCTTTATTTTTCTAATCCATAAGCACACTATATCTTTATATCCATGTATGTCTTCAGTTTTTCTCATCAATGTTTTATAATTTGTATGATACATGTAAATTTGCTTTCTTTGAATTCATTTGGCTCAATTTGCTCCGAAGTGTTTTGTTCTTTTTGGTGCAATTGTAAAAAGAATATTACTATTTGGGTTTTTTTTTTTTGATAGATGATTATTAAGGATATAGAAATGCATCTGCTTTTCTCAGGTGGATTTTGTCTCCAGAACCTTGACTGAACTTGTTAATTAGTTCTAACAGTTTTCATTGGTAAAGAGTGTAGCATTCTCTATGAAGAGGACTTGTCCTCTGCCAACAGAGGCGGCCCTTCCTTGTTCCTTCCTGGTTTGGATTCCTGTGGTTTCTTTTTCCTCTCAGATTCCTCTGTCTGGGGTCTTCAGCACTACATGGAACAGACATTGCTGCAGTGTGGGCAGCCTCACCTTGGTCATGATCTTAAGGAAAAGCCACTACATACATACATACATACATACATTTTTCGGCCACTACATACAACATTTGATGTGGTAGATCCTGTGTGACCTTTATTGTCTTGTGGTGCATTCCTTTTTACCTAATTTTTGTAGGCCATCCGTCATGAAAGAGTGTTGATTTTTTTCAGAATCATCGTTCTACACCTAATGAGATAATATGATTTTATCTTTCATTCTGTCAGTACAGTTGACCACATTGAATTATTTTTGTGCTTTGAAACATTTTTGCAACTGGGATAAATCTCATTTGGTCCTAGTGCATGATTTAATCATGTTCTGTTGAATTTATTCTACCAGTATTAAGGATTTTTCTGTCTATGGAAATGAGGTATATTGCCCTGTACCTATAGGTTTTGCTAATATTACAGTAACTGTACAATCTGGCCTATTCAAAGCTCATCCAAGTTGTATTAAGAATCCTCCTTCTCAGACAGGAAAGAGAAAGCTAAGCACATCCCCACCATAATTCCTTTCTATGAACCTGAACTCGCCCTTCTGTGCTGTTCCAGGGATGGACCCCACACATTGAGCAATCGCTGTGGGAGGCCAGGCCATAATACTCAATCTGTCACCTGGTACCATTAGTCCTGCACCAAATCCTGTGGGGAAAAGCCACAGAAGTTCTCATTTGCATTTACTGCAGATTTACATCACTGATGTGTCCTTTATCAAATGAGATCCTCTGTAGAGACACCCTGAACACACCAATGTATTCATATAACAGCTTCCTTGACTTCTGTCTTTGTGGACACAGATAGACCCACCTCAGCAGCCACAGCATTTCCTGGAGGGTGGGGAGCAGATGCGGCCATCCACCCCCTCTACATGGAAGTTACTGAAGGCTCCAGTTCTGGCCATTTCCAACAGTGCTGGCAGGATAAGTACCTAGCTTTCGACATGCTGGATGAAGGAAGGGACACATGCTAAGGACTTGGAAGGGTGCTCCCAAATGATTCTGAGGAGTATCCATGGTCACATCTCCCAGGGGATCTGCCCAGGCCTCTGTCTCCTGTATTCTCACCAGGGCTGTTCAGCACCAGCCTTAAAACCTGCCCATTCAGTGGGGACAAACAACCTCTCAGTAGTAAGTGTGTTGACCATGGTGTGTCAACATTCAAAGGTTCACAGTTACTATGCGCAGTGATTCGTTTTTGAATTGCAGGAATTTGTTCTTTGTCCCCCTAGAAAAATGATTTTCTCATGAAGTTTGATGTGTCCCTGGGATGTTAATCTTATATCAGTCTAGGTTTTTTGGGGGGAGGGTCCAATTTTATTTTAAGTTTTATTTATATTTCACAGCAGAATGCATTAAATTCTTATTACATATATAGTGCACAATTTTTCATGTCTCTGGTTGTTTCAGAAACACTTTGCTAGTTGTAATTTGTCTTTCTAAGTATCTATGTTCTTTTTGTTTTTCGATCAGGAGTCAGTCATTTCCTTTATGACTTCTGACCCTTGAGTCAGAAAAAAAAATGCTTTCAACATAAATGTTATCAAAGTATTTTCTAAGAAGCTTTCATTTTACATATACACTTAGACCTGCTAGATGAGTAGCACATAACAATATCCCAGTGATTTAGGAGGCTGAGGAAGGAGGATTTAAAGTTGGAGGTCAGTTTCCCCAACCTAGGGAGCTCCTCAGGAACTTAGTGAGACTCCATCTCATAAAGAAAAAAAAAAAACTGGAGATGAGGCACTCACTAAATGCCCCTGGGTTCAATTTCTAATACTAATTAAAAAAAAAAAAACTAAAAATCTTGGATCTCTATGGCATTTACTATTCAAAGAAAATTAATTAACAGTCCCTGCCAATATTGTGTGGACAAACACAAAAGTCCGACTACAATGACATGAAAAAGCCAGAAGAGAAAGATCAGAGGGAGGGTGTTCCCTGGAGACAAGCAGGAGGGAGAGCAGGTGTGGGTGGGTGTGGGTACCAGACACAGGACAGTGTAATGCACTTAAAGACAATTAGCTGAACTTTTTAAAAAAAATATTACATTTTAAAATAAATTAGTTTCAATAAAAATAGAAAAAGAAAAAAAGAAAAGGAGAGGTAAAGGGCAGTTCTGGGATGGGAGCTGGTGCAACGGGGGTGCTCAGTCGGTGGTCCAGGCTGTGTTCCCACTGGGAGCCACAGATCTGTTTCTGAACCTGGAGCTCTCTCTCAAGTGGTGGGTTGGTAATTCAAGATGAGCTGGACTTTCGTATCTTTTATCTTATGTTTACGATCTACTGCAAGTATGTATGTTTCTAAGTGCTTTATTATTCTACTTGGCTTGTTGATATTACTATAAATGATGTCTCCACATACTCTCTTGTTCAGCACTGGTGTGGAGAATCACAAACTCTAATGACAGGGAGCTGGACATTTTTGGTTTTGCCTGCTGGATATGTTCCCTGTTACAAAGCAGATTTATCTTTTCTCCAGGCATTGGACATTAGTAGTAGTAGTAGTAGTCAGTAGTAGTAGTAGTAGTAGTAGTAGTAGTAGTATTTTTTTATTTCCAAATAACACTGCTTTGAGGCAAAGCGTTTAAGTGTTTAGGGCAGCCACAGTAAACCAGCAAGAGGCTGACACAAAATGAAAAAGGAAAAGACCATGGATGTAGCTCAGCGGTAATGTGCCCCTGGGCTCAAGCCCAGTAACAAAAAGTCAAAATAAAAAACATAAAAAACATAGATCTCTATGGCGTTTGTCCTTCTAAGGAAACATAATTAGTCCCTTCCAACTTTACACAGCCCAGAAGAAATCAGACTGCACTGGTTTAAAAAATGCAGACTCAGCATATCACAGGACTAGAAGCTAAGGGGTCGCTGGGGACTAGCAGGAGGTTGGGGAGGCAGTGATCATAGATACCAAATTCCGGAAGACGTTCTGGAACTGCATAGTGGTGACTAGTGCACAGTTTAGAGAAGGCACTTGATGCCAAATGACTGCGTCTTTTAACAATGAAAATAAATCTTTAATTCTAAATAATAAAATAATAAACACAGATAATAAAAACGAATAAACAAATGAGCTGGGAGAAGAACAGAGGCTCTGGGTTCCTGTCTGGATGCAGTGCTGACTGAAGGGCCAGCAGGGTGTGTTGGCCTTGATCGTCCACTGCAGGTTCGTCCAGCTCCAGTTCTCTATCAGATGGTACAGATGATGGACATTGAACTGGAGCTTCCACAAGCACTAGAGCTGCTAGAGGAGTAAAGGTCCACAGACTATCCACGTTAGGTCCAGGGACAGAATATTCCCTACTGCCTTTCATACAATTCCACACACAAACCCAACACCAGGCAGTGTTCCCAGAATGCACACAGACAATGACAGCTCTGCCTCTCATTGTTCCTGCCCCGCCCCAGTTCCTGTGCAGTATGCTCTGCTTGTCCCTCCCTGTCCCATTCTGACATACTCATAACCCCACCTCAGTCCTCCTCACCTTCAGCCTGTTCCTCCATGGGCTCAGGGTTTTCTGTCAAGGCTGGGACCTGGTGTCCGTGGTCCTCCTCCTCGGGGCTTGTGACAGTGACCTGGCTGTGCACATTACCAAGTGGGTAGTGAGGCAAATGCAAGTGAGGGAGTGAGGAGACCACCCAAGAGGGATGGGGGGGGCAACAGTATGAGAGGCCTGGCCTTTCCTACCATGAGGTCAGTGATCTTGGCACCCCACAGTTCAGAGGAGAGGGCTGAAGCTCAGAGAGTCACAGGGCCAGTATCAGGACTCACAGCTGTATGTGACCCTGTCACCCTGGGCAGGGCTTACCTTCCCAACATTTGGCCCATCTCTTGTTGGGTGGAGGAACTCGAGATATTTGAGGCCAAAGAGGATGATTGAAAGAACATGGGCTCCAGGGTCTCCTCCAGGTTCCCCAGGGAGTACGCCTGGAACACATATCCAATGCTGGTATCATCCCCTCTGTAGCCACCTTCTTGGTTGGGACATTGAAGAAACAGAGTCAGTGCCAAACTGACCCACCAGAAGTGTCTGGGGGTGGAGTCCAGTGCAATAGCAAAAGCACATAGGGGCTTGTCCCACAGAGGGACAGGAGAGCCCCAGCAGGGCAATGGCAGAGTTCACAGTGGAATTGCTGAGGGGATAGTTAGAAACACAGCAGCTTCAGGCCAGTGTGTTAGCTGAGCAGAGGTGGCAGCTCTGTGCATTTAGGAGCTTATCCCCTGAGTCCCACCAGCACACCACCTTCTGGAGATGGGAAAACGGGCTCATCCCAGACAGGAGGGTCCCTGTGTGAGGACACCCAGAACATCATTCTCTGTGGTGCTGTTGAAATGGCTCCAGAACGGAATGAGGTCCAGGTCCCACAGCCCTGAAAGGCTGAATGACTGTGGAACCTGGGTCCCCCCGGAAGGTGGTGAGGTCCTGGGGGCTCAGCTCCTACTTTCCCAGTCTGTGTTCCTTGAGATAGCAAGTACCAGAGAAATGGACCAATTGGCATGAGCCTTGTAGTGTTTCAGCTAAACTCATCCCTAGTAATCCTGATGATGTGTAAGACTTGGAGAGAGTGTGGAAGGACCGTCAGGCCATTGTCACCTGGACACCTGGGTGTTGGAGTTATAGTCAGTTGGGTGGCAGAGTACAAATCATCAGAGAATTAAAATGAAATAATGTCCATGTTGCTGTTCTGTTGTTGTCAAAATTATGGGAACAGTGACCTTGGATGAGTCCAAGAACGAGGCAGGCAGAGAGGGTGAGGAGGATGGGTGAGGATTTGTTGTTCAGATTCCTCATGGTGGGGACTCTGCCCCTCCATCTCCCATCCCTACCAGGAAGGTGGTCCTGGTGGTGTCTGTGCTCTTATTCTTTAGAAATTTCCATCCAATGAAGGTCAAGAGGGTCAGGACAGGTGAGGTAACTCGATCCCTGGGGATGTAGGAAGGCATGCCCTGGGGGATGGAAGTCCAAATTTTAATGCTCCAGTAGGTTGAATTGCAGGATTTATTGCCCTTAAATCTTGTATTAACCTCCAATTACCTGAATTTTTCTTAATTACAAAAATGGATGTGTTCCAAGGGCTAAGTGTAGGCTCTGAATGACCAGCTTTAAGCTATTCTTTGACTCAAATATGAGCTATTTTAAGTTTTTCCCCTGTTACAGGCCACTGACTAACCCAAATTGGCTCTTCTGTGAGCCAAGTGATCTTTTTTGCTACCTTTATTTTTAGAGAGAGAGAAGAGAGAGAGAGAGATTGAGAGAGAGAGAGAGAATTTTTTAATATTTATTTTTTAGTGATTGGTGGACACAACATCTTTGTATGTGGTGCTGAGGATTGAACCCGGGCCGCACGCATGCCAGGTGAGCGCGCTACCGCTTGAGCCACATCCCCAGCCCTTCTGCTACATTTTGTACCGGGAAAAAGTAAGGGCCCCTACCAAAAATTTTGGTTGGGTGCATTAATTAATCTCTGTCGAGGAGACTGGTTCATAAGTAGAGATTCATCCTGTAAATTTCTTTCACTATCCCTAGGAATAAACCATTGATTAAATTTCTCAGATGACTTGATAGAATTTGGAGTTACTAATAATAATCCTAAACTGCTTAGGATATCTCTTCCCCATAAGTTTACTGGTAAAGAATCTAAATCATATGTCTTAAAAATTTCAGTATTTCCATCTCAGTCCTCCCAGTGAAGATATTGGGCACTCTGGGCAGGCTGACAAATCTGTCCTATTTCTTCTAAATTGGCTGGCGCAGTATGGAAAGGCCAGGTTTGGGGCCAAAATCAGTGAGACAAAACTGATTTATCTACTGCCTTTCATAAAATTCCACGCACAAACCCAACACCGGGCAGTGTTCCCAGTATCTATAACTCCTTGAAATTTTTTATGATTAATTTTTAAGTTCCAATAGGGGGTGCTCCTGCCAAACTAATTGGGCCCAGTATGCTCCGCCTGGCGATTTGGAAATTGAGATTTTATCTGGACTGTCCACAGAGCTGCAGGGTAAAAGAATTAATTGGGCTAGCGCGTTTTTAGTAGAAAGCTGAATGGCATATTCTGATTTTACAGTAACTGTTATTTCACCTCTAAAACAAGTATCAATAATTCCCAGTAATACTTGGATTGACTCTTTAAATTTCATTCCAAAATTAATCCTATAGTGCCTGGGGGTAATGGCCCATGAATTCTGGTAGGAATCCGCTGGGGTCCCATTTCAGGTGTTAACATGGCTAGTTGAAAGAGTACTGTGTGGGTGGTGCCTGCTAGTAAAAATGGCGGTCCGCCATGGCCAGCTATCATGACATCAGAGCTTGTGACTCCTCCAAATCCCCTTCTGTTTGGCAGGCCTGGGGAAAGGCAGGGTTAACTAGGACATGTGAGGTAACTCAATCACTGGGGATTTAGGAAGGCATGCCCATGCAAGAAGACACATTTGCGTTTTTCTGCCCTCAAGATGGGGGCTATTGTGTTCAGCTACTTAAAAGTAGCCACATCACCGGGGTGACCATCAGTGCCATAGCTAATCAGGAGGGGAAGCAAACGCTGGTCACATGCTATGGCAGCCTCCAACAATGGAGCAAGAGCCTGTCTCAAAATGAAAAAGGAACAAGACCATGGATGTAGCTCAGTGGTAAAGTGCCCCTGGGTTCCAGCCCAGTAACAAAGAAATAAGAATAAAAAATAAAAAAACGTAGATCAGTGTGGCATTTTCCCTTCTAAGAAAACATAATTAGTCCCTTCCAACGTTACACAGCCCAGAAGAAATCATACTGCACTGGTTTGAAAAATGCAGACTCAGCATATCACAGGACTAGAAAGCTAAGGGGTCACTGGGGACTAGCAGGAGGGAGGGGAGGCAGTGGTCATGGATACTGAATTCCAGAAGACATTCTGGAACTACATTGTGCTGACTAATGTACAGTATAGAGAAGGCACTTGATGGCAAATGACTGAGACTTTTAACAATGAAAACAAATCTTTACTTTTAAATAAAATAATAAACACATACAATAAAAATGAATAAACAAATGGCCTGGGACAAGACCAGAGGCTCTGGGTTCCTCTCTAGATGCAGTGCTGACTGAAGGGCCAGCAGGATACGTTGGCCTTGATGGTCCAAGGCAAGTGCGTCCAGCTCCAGTTCTCTATCAGATGGTGGAGATGTTGGACCTCGAACGGGAGCTTCCACAAGCACCAGAGCTGCTAGAGGAGTAAAGGTCCACAGACTATCCATGTTAGGTCCAGGGACAGAATATTCCCTACTGCCTTTCATACAATTCCACGCACAAACCCAGCACCAGGCAGGGTTCCCAGAATGTATGAAGACAATGACAGCTCTGCCTCTCATTGTTCCTGCCCCGCCCCAGTTCCTGTGCAGTAAGCTCTGCTTGTCCCTCCCTGTCCCATTCTGACATACTCATACCCCACCTCAGTTCTCCTCACCTTCGGCCTGTTCCTCCATGGGCTCAGGGTTTTCTGTCAAGGCTGGGACCTGGTGTCCTTGGTCCTCCTCCTCGGGGCCTGTGACAGTGACCTGGCTGTGGACATTACCAAGTGGGTAGTGAGGCAAATGCAAGTGAGGGAGTGAGGAGACCACCCAAGAGGGATGGGGGGGGCAGCACTATGAGAGGCCTGGCCTTTCCTACCATGAGGTCAGTGATCTTGGCACCCCACAGTTCAGAGGAGAGGGTTGAAGCTCAGAGAGTCACAGGGCCAGTATCAGGACTCACAGCTGTATGTGACCCTGTCACCCTGGGCAGGGCTTACCTTCCCAACATTTGGCCCATCTCTTGTTGGGTGGAGGAACTCGAGATGTTTGAGGCCGAAGAGAAACAGTCATAGAAGAAGGCAGGCTCCAGGGTCTCCTCCAGGTCCCCCAGGGAGTACGCCTGGAACACATATCCAATGCTGGTGTCATCCCCTCTGTAGCCACCTTCTTGGTTGGGACATTGAAGAAACAGAGTCAGTGCCAAACTGACCCACCAGAAGTGTCTGGGGGTGGAGTCCAGTGCAATAGCAAAAGCACATAGGGGCTTGTCCCACAGAGGGACAGGAGAGCTCCAGCAGGGCAATGGCTGGCAGAGTTCACAGTGGAATTGCTGAGGGGATAGTTAGAAACACAGCAGCTTCACGCCAGTGTGTTAGCTGAGCAGAGGTGGCAGCTCTGTGCATTCGGAGCTTATCCCCTGAGTCCCACCAGCACACCACCTTCTGGAGATGGGAAAACGGGCTCATCCCAGACGGGAGGGTCCCTGTGTAAGGACACCCAGGACATCATTCTCTGTGGTGCTGTTGACATGGCTCCAGGACAGAATGAGGTCCAGGTCCCACAGCCCTGAAAGGCTGAATGGCTGTGGAACCTGGGTCCCCCTGGAAGGTGGTGAGGTCCTGGGGGCTCAGCTTCTACTTTCCCAGTCTGTGTTCCTTGAGACAGCAAGTACCAGAGAAATGGACCAATTGGCAGGAGCCTTGTGATGTTTCAGCTAAACGCAGCCCTAGTAATCCTGATGCTGTGTAAGACTTGGAGAGAGTGTGGAAGGACCGTCAGGCCATTGTCACCTGGACACCTGGGTGTAGGAGTTATAGTCAGTTGGGTGGCAGAGTACAAATCATCAGAGAATTAAAATGAAATAATGTCCCTGTTGCTGTTCTGTTGTTGTCACAAATATGGGAATTGTGACCTTGGATGAGTCCAAGAACGAGGCAGGCAGAGAGGGTGAGGAGGATGGGTGAGGATTTGTTGTTCAGATTCCTCACGGTGGGGACTCTGCCCCTCCACCTCCCATCCCTATCAGGAAGGTGGTCCTGGTGGTGTCTGTGCTCTTATTCACTTTTATTCTGCTCTGTGCCCTGCCAGTAGAGTCCCCCCTGTCCCGCACTTATCCTGAGGCCCAGCTCCTGCCCATTGGTGCTTGGCTCTGGATATTCCTCAGTGGACGTGGGGTTGGAGCTGAAGCTGCAGCTCCAGTGCTTATTGAGGATAAACTGTGGAAAGAATGGAAGACAGTGCCTGGTAGCTGGCCGGGAGCCCCAGCCCCTGCTCGCCTCCATTCAGGGTGTTTGTGTCTCTTGTGGCCTTCTGCTCCCCCGACCTAATACAGACCCTGTGTCTCAGGTTTTACCCTGTAGGACAGGAAATGACACTGGGTGCCCAGGCCGTACCGTGGACACTTTCATTCCCCACCTTTTTCCCTGTCCTGGGGGTGACCATGATAGGACACGAGGCTCACAATCTCCCACCACCTTTTCCTGCCTCAGGTCCCTGTTCTCCCCTACTGAGGAGCAAGGTGGTGGGACTCTGCAGGGCTACTCACAGTGATGTTCTCTCCTGGATGTACCTCACCAGGGCTATCAGGTGTGGACCTAAAGCTACTCCTCCCACTTTCAGGCGTGCCAATTGGAGGAGGACCATCAGCGAGGCACAGGCAGCAGCACATGAAGCAACTTCGCAGTTGTTTCCAAAAGTTTCTTCTTTTGGGTGTCCAGTGGATTGGGTCTGGGGAAGGGGCCGTGCAGCCATAGGGGGAGCTCTGGCGACGTGGCCTCCTAAAGGGTCGGCCTCCACAGGGGAAGCAGGAAAACATGTTTTGGCTTTCAAAGTATTTCACCAAATGAGCTGGGAGGAGGCTGTTGCTAGAATGTGGGTGCCTGGTTACTGGGTTCCAAGTTCTGTTTGACTCTATGACCAAGGAAGGGGGCCCATGTCTTGGGGTTCCTGGCCTAACCCATCCTCCAGATAAGCCCATGTTTGTCCCTCTGTTGGCTCTCCTCCAGCCCCATGCCATTGCCATATGTGTACACAGCCAACCCCAACACTGGCCCCACATCCCTTGGCAGGCATGGGTGCAGCCAGGGTCCCAGCTCTGAGGAGACACATCTAGGTTTCAACCCAGCTCCTCCTCCTGTCCTCTCATGTGACCTTGGACAAGTCATCATGTCTCTAAGGCTTGCCCAGTGTCCCCCTGCACAGTGTCTACTTCCTAGCACTGTCACCAGGCATATCTGACATAACACTTAGAAACGATGTTGTCAAATGTCTGTAATGCACAAAAGTAGAGATAAAATATGGAAACAGGTGAAATTTTACGTAGAATAGAGCTAAGGACAGGCCTAGTCTCCTGCCTGCTGACTTTGAAAATGCCATTTTCCTTCCTGGCCTTCTTTCTCTGTCTGCATCTTGAGGGGGTTGAAATGCAATTAGTGGGGATATCCTCATCTCCCAGAGCCACCCACCTTGTTCTCTTTGGGATGAGAGTAAGCACAGTCACATTTAGTAAATGAATGAGCAAGAATACCTTCACCTCCATCACCCTTTCTACTCAAGTCCCATCAAAATAATAATAATAATAATAATAATAATAATAATAACCCTTCAAAAGATCACTGTGAAGAACTCCATACCAGGTAGGTACAGAACATATTCAAAAATCTATAACTATGTGTATTTGTAACTCTGTAGCAAAATTACCTGAAATTTTGTGGCTTAAAACAGAGAAATTTATTTTCTCATGGTTCTGGAGGTGAGAAATCTCAACATGCCACAGGGCCATGTTCCCTCTAGTCTCTAAACAACAATCCTTTCTGATCTTTTTCAATTTTTAATGGCCCTATGTTTTCCCAGGTTTAGGACAGTGTCACTCCAAACTCCACCTCCAATCTTCACATAGCCTCCTCCTTATTCTGTGTCCTCTCCTCTTCTTGAAGGGACACTTGACATTAGATTTAGAGCCCATTCAGATAATACAGCATGATCATCATGATCTCATCTTGAGATCCTTAATTACATGTGCAAGGATCTTTTTCCAAATACAGTTAGATTCACTCATTCTGAGACAAACCCACAGAATACAGTTACTCATACTAGACAAAGGTGCCAAAAACATACATTGGAGAAAAGATAGCCTCTTCAAAAAATGGTGTTGGGAAAACTAGAAATCCATATGATGCAAGATGTAATTAAACTCCTCTCTCCCTGCACAAAACTCAACTCAAAGTGGGCCAAGGACTTAGGCTTTATAACAGAGACCCTACACCTAATAGAAGAAAAAAGGAGACTGAAATCTATGTCAGCTTAGGAACTGAGTTCCTTATCAAGACTCCTAAAGCACAAGGAGTAAAATCAAGAATTAATAAATGGGATGGAATCAAACTAAAAACCTTCATCACAGCAAAGCAAACAATCAAGCACATGAAGAGAGAGCCTACAAAATCAGAAAAACTCTTTACTTGCACCTGCACCTCAAATACAGCATTATTCTCCAGGATACATAAAGAACTCAACAAACTCAACAACAACAACAACAAAAATAACCCAATGAAGAAATAAGCATCCAGCAGCTAGAGAGGCTGGGATGGGAAGATCACAAGTTCAAAGCCCAGCCTCAGTAACCGCAAGGTGCTAAGCAACTCAGTGAGACCCTATCTTTAAAGAAAATATAAAATAGGTATGGGGATGTGGCTCAGTGGTTGAGTGCCCCTGAGTTCAATTCCCAGTATCAAAAAAAAAAAAGGAAATAATCAAAGGAACTAAACAGATACTTCACAAAAGAAGAAGTATGATCAGATAAAAAATATGAGAAAATGTTCAACATCTCTAGCAATTAGAGAAATGCAAACTAAACTAAAACCATACAAGTAACAGCAAATGTTTGCAAGGATGTGGGAAAACAAGTACACTCATACATTGCTGGAGGGACTACAAATTGGTGCAACCACTCTGGAAAGCAGTATGGAGATTCCTTAGAAAAGTTGAAATGGAACTACCATTTGATCCAGTTATCCACTTCTTGGCTTATACCCAAAGGACTTAAAATCAGACTACTACAGTGACACAGTCACATCAATGTTTATAGCAGATCAGTTCACAATAGCCAAACTATGGAGCCAATCTAGGTGCTCTTCAACAGATAAATGAATAAATATGTGGTATATATACACAATGGAATATTAATAAGCAATAAAGAAGTATGAAATTATGGCATCTGCTGGTAAATGGATAGAACTGGAGAATATCATGCTAAGTGAAGTAAGCCAGTCCCCAAAATCTAAAGGTCAAGGCTTCTCTCTGTTATGTAGATGCTAACCCATAATCAGGTACAGTAGGCACGGGAAGTATAGAAGTTCACTGGATTAGGCAAAGGGAAATGAAGGGAAGAGAGGGGAGATGGGGAAAGGAAAGGCAGTAGAATGAAGCACACATTACTTTCCCATGCTAATATACGAATACACGACCAGTGTAACTCCACATCATGTTCAACCACAAGAATGGGATCAAAATTATAATGGGTTGTACCCCAAGTATGTATGGTATGTCAAAATACAGTTGACTGTCCTGCATCTCTAAAAACAAACAAACGCTGAAAGTGAGATGTTGAGGATTGAAGGTCAGTAGTCACCTGGTAAGACCAATCCCAGCAGTTCACACTGTGCTTTATTCTGTTCACCAAATAGGTCTTAGACCTGGGAAGTCTTCTTGTCATACCTCACAGGATGGCTCCACCTTAAGCCAAAATGTGTTTGAATTTTGTTATTTCATAGGCCCAACTTAGTTTTCCATAAAGCAAAATCAACATTCATCTTATGGTGTACTTCAGTTTGTTATTGTAGTTCCCTCTTATCAAAAATTTCAATTTCTGTGGTTTCACTAAAATGTGGTCCAAAAACAGTAAATTTAAAACTACAGAAAAAAAACCACTGTGTAAGTTTTAAATTTTTCACAATTCTTAATACAATGATCAGGTATTAAGATTAGGTAGCATCATTCTCTATCATGACTATGCCGTGAATCATCCCTTTGTCCTATGATGCAGGACGTGTAGTCGACCCACACATTAGTTCCTAAACAGCCATCTGGTCATGAGGTAAACTGTGGTGGTTTGCACTGCTTGTA